GTTTTCCTTTGCTATCATCTAGCTTACCTTTCATGACTTAGCTCTGATGACTAGATCAGTTCCTGAATCTTTGTATGAAGCCCAGACTGCTCACTTGTGAGCACATTTTTCTTTCTTCAAAGTAAATCACCTTTTTGCTGATTGTTTCAGTTATTTGCATCTGTTTCTCTAAACGAATGCTTCTATTGCCATTTCTTGATTTTTTTTTTCCAGTTTTAAACATCATCAACTACAGAAGATGATTTAGCTTCTATCCCCTGGCCCACTACACATAAAGAATATTCCTACTCCCCACCGACCTCCCCCCCACACTCCAGTTTTAATTAGATGAATATCTAGTCTTTATTATACCTATGTAAATGCAATTCATGGGTAAGCCAGGTAGAGAATTATATTTCCTTTCCTGCACAGCTTTTTCTCTAAAGACCTGCCCAAGCTGGCATAGCCAGAAAAAGGCAGTGGCAGGATTCAAATTGAGGACTTAGGACTCCCAAGCTCATCCTCATTTCCCTAAATCAGGCTGCCACCTGAGTTAAACTCCCCAGTCCCTCATCCTGGTTGTTCCCTATTGTATAAATCTTTCTGTTTAGGACACTTCAATTATTCTACCAATTTCACCCCTTAAAAGAAAACTGCCCAGAGCCTCTTGTCCTTCTGCAGCCTGAACAAGCTGTCCTCTAGCTGTGCACACTGCTAGTGTTCTGGGATTACCCATCGCCGTTGTCCTGGGGGACGCTTCGGTCTCTCTCCTGTGTTTAATGCTCAGTGTGCGATATCCCTCACCTTCCCTCCTGGTTTCCTCCACTTGTTTGTTACGTCTTCCAATAGCCTCCTTCCCAGGATGGGAAGGTGTGTGGATGGTAAATTTTTTTATATCTGAAAGTATCTTTATTCTACCCTCTCACTCACTTGGTAGTTTGGCCAGGTTTAAAATGATTCGTGTGTGTTTGTTTAAGAAATCCAAAACCATTCTGCTCTCCAGATCTTTGTAAATGACCCAGGTTTTGTTTGTTTGTTTGTTTGTTTGTTTTGGAAGCCTGTTGGATCTCCACTTTTATCCCAGTTCCGAAATATCGCAGTGATGTATTTTGATTTTGAGTCTATTTTTATTCATTGGGTTGGTCACTTGGAGAGTGCTTGCATCTAGACACTCATGTCCTTCAGTCATCTGGAATTTTCTCAAATAATTTTGTTGATGAATTTCTCCCCTCCTTTTGTTTGTTCTCTCTGGAACTCCTATTGTCTGGATATTGGACCTCCTGAATGGACCTCTAATTTATTTTATTTTTTCTATTTGATTTTCTATGTATTTATATCTTTTGCTACTTATGTGAGATTTCTTCATCTTTCTCTTTTAGATTCTCTATTGAAATGTTCATTTTTTTCTGTCTTAATTTTTAAAACAAAGAGCTTTTTTCTTGTTCTCTGTTTTTTTAAATAGTCTTTTGTTCTTTTTGGATACAAGTGACATGATGAAGATTATTTTTGTCAGTTGTTTTGTTTTCTTCTCCCTACTCTTGGTTTGAAGGGCTTTTTGGTTGGTTGGTTGGTTGGTTGGTTGGTTGGTTGGTTGGTTGGTTTGGGTTGGTTTTGGTTGGTTTCAGTCTCTCTCTTTCATGTTAGAGACTTTCCTCAGATGTCTGGAGGACAACTAGAAGGTGGCAGCCAACATTCCAAGAGCCAAGGAGGGGAGCAGGCTGAGGGTGTCAGCATTCCATGTGCACACATGTACTTAATCACCCGGTTTGGGGTTCCATACCCCTGCCCTTTGCTATGTGTTCCCTACTGTGTTCCTGGTCCAGAAACCCTCTTTTACCCTTCCTAGACACTAAACTTATATTCTTGGTTGAGATGGAGAATGGTTGAGATGGAGAGTGCAGAGGGATTTTAGAGCTTAATTGCTTCTTAAACACCTTCCAAATTATCCTGATTTTAGCCCTCCCCTCTTCATTCCTACTTTCCTAAAACCATTAAGGATTCTACAGTCTATATTGAGCTGCTGACTTACTAGGTTGGTTACTTCATATCCATGGGCTTTTGGTTTTTATCTCCTGTTACTCTATACGTTTATACCCTTTTTCCCTTTTAATGGAAGATGGCTGCATGCACTTGTCCTGTCTGCCTCCTTTCTCTTATTATCTCCCCATCTATCATGTCCACTCAGGAGGCTGAATGCTGAATCCAGGATCTCTAAAATACTGCACGTGGTTTTCCTTCAGCTTTCCTGTTTACGGAACCATCATTCTTCCACCTGTCAGCCTCCAAGAATAAGAATAATTTTAATAATTCCTTTTTTTCTGTCACACAAATTTTTACTTTCATGAATTTCTGGCATTTTTCTTCCTTAAAATTTAGTACATATTTGTGAAAAACCTGATTTCTTTTTGAAGTATCAAAGATAATGAGAAGTATCAAAGATAATGAGAAGTTCCTTCGAATCAAGGAACTTCCAATAGTAGCAGGGAAAAAAAAATCAAGAACATGATGATGATGATGATGATGATGATGAAGGGAAAAAAAATCACGAAAATGATGACGATGATGATGACGACAACAACGACGATGACAGAGATGATAAATGAAAAAATCGCAGCTAACATTGAGATTGTAGTTTGTGCCAACCACTGTGTTCTTTTATTTAATCCTAACTATCCTCTGAAAAATAGTACTATTATAATTGTCATTTTGCACATAAGAAACAGGTAGTGAGGCAACAAAACTTTTCCAAGACACTATACAAAATAAATGTATAAACCAATGTGCTGAGAGAAATCAGGGACAATAGAAATTAATGCTTAACTCAAAAGTCGAGGAAAGCTCGAAAAACTAGATTTCAAAATTTACTCTTTCCTCTGAATTCCCTTTGATAACACCACACACCAGGCTCTTTACATTTGTCACTTAATTCAAAAGATCAACTTTTGGCAAGTCTCTCTGTACCTAACCATTTTCATTTCCCCTACTTAGTACTAGCAGATGATATATTGCCTCCGCACTGTCCTTCACTGCTCAAGAACCTATTCCCCTTTGCCAATCATGTCATGTTTGATCTTCTGGGCCTATTTTCAAGAGCCTTAGTACATATGTCATATCCATTCCCCAAATATATGACATAGGTCTCTCTACCCGTATACAAGTCACATTCTTTCCTACCATTTTGCTTTTACTAAAACCGTCTTCTTGCGGAACTAATTTTTACCTGTCTCTTATGGCTTCATTTTTATATAAAGCCTTTCCTGGCAGCCTGAAACCCAACTTCCATGATGCTTAGTATTTTTACCTATTATTGGGTCCTCGCCATGTACAACCCAATGTAATATCAGTGCTAACTTGCCCAACAAATTAGCCATGTACCAAAGGCACCAACAATTTAGGAATGCCAAAAATATTTTATTTTGAAAGAATTTATTATTTCAAAGAGTCAGCTTGAGGAAAAAAACAGAATGTCTTTTGAAGTTTTATTTTATGGCTATTATTTTTTTGTTACTACCTGATCTTTAAAGTGCTTAGAGCTCTTACCATTCTTGCTCCATCCTTGGATATTGTTAATTTTCATCTTAGTTGTTGGGTAAATGAACTATGTCTTTGTATAATTGTGCCCAAGGTAGGCACTCATTTAATATAGGATATTTTTAATAAAATTTGTGCATAATATATTCATTCCTGAAACAAAAATTATAATATAGGATTAAGATACCAAATTTCGTTGAATGTTAGATGTCATCAATTATAACATGTACCATTGTCTTATGCACCAAAAAAAAGAAAGAAAACAATGTTGCCAGTTTAACCATGATGTGCCAATAATTGTAAGATAGATGCTAATTTCAGAGATGTTAAGAGGTAAATGAATACATGTGCATCTTGGGTTTGATAAAATGTGTACATTGTTGTTTTATAATACATTGGTGTTAGGCATCTTAAAATTATCAATGATATTTTTAAGTCAGATTTTTAAAAGACATGCTAAGTACCATCTAAATGCAAGTCACTGTGTGAAGAAGTACAACATGTAGATAAACAATGATAAAGCCATGACCCTTTCCTATTAAGAGTTTACAGTCTAATGGAAGGAATGTTATATAAGTGAATTACGAGAAAGGTAGAAAGTGATCAGAGCCAGTTGAAGTAGTTGAAGATCCTATAACCATTAAAAGAATAGAGTAATTACCTTTAGTTTGGATTTTCAAAAAATCTTCACAGAGGAAATGATGTTGAAGGATGAGTAGAATTTTGCAAACTGTTGATGGGCACGGAGGCATGCCAACTGGAGATTATAATATGTGCAAAGGCATAGAAACAGAAAAATATAGGCATGTTTAGAAAATAGTGAAAAATCCAGATTAGCTGGAAATAGGAGTGGCTAGAGGAGTTTCAGAGATAATTTTGAAAGGCCATTGGTGCCATATAGAGGAAGGCCTTAAATGCTTAGCTGAGTTCATTAAAGACTTGAAAGGCAAGGCAGAACCACTTAAAGATTTTTAAAAGGGGTGTGGCTAGTAGGATAAGAGCATTTTTTGAAAAATTTATGTCTATAGAGAGTGAATCACTGTAATCATCCCAGAGAAGTTGGTAAAACTCTAAACATTTGCTTTACTTTCAAATTCTATACATCGTTATTTTCATTATAAGCAAAACTATTTTATAAATTATGTATTCTGTCTCCAAGAAGCAAATCTCTTGAATTTCTTTCTGCTTAGTTGAAATTTTACCCATCAGAGCCATAGCTTTTGGTTATTGAACAATTCCAACAAGCTGAGTATGTGATAAACAGCTCACATACTCTGCCATTTAAATCTCATTTTATAGAAGAAACACTGAAATTGGGTAAATTTTTAATTGCCCAGTATCAGGAACTGAGCCAACTGTTCCAGTTCGAGAATTCCATTACCCCACAGCATTGCCAGTGCCCCTCAGAAAGTGCTACTTTGTTGGTACAACTTGTCTGTGACATGGAGGCCACTTGTAGACTTCAATTTTCAACTTTTGTATTGTTGCAGGGAGACAAGTTAAACTGCTAGAGAAACCTCATGGACAATCTCCACAATAGGTAAGTTATTTTCTTAATGCTTTAGGGGAAAAGTCTATTCTTTCTACTTTCTATTAAATTTCCTATTCCTTGGTCTTTCACTACAGTTTTTATTACTTAAAGCATTAAAGCCAGTAGACAGAGCAATCCCCAAAGTCTGTTTCTTTCTAGCTTATTCAGGTTTGAGTGGAACTCCGTTATTTTTCCTCTTTACTATTGTTGTTTGTGGATACAGTTCTAAAATATGTGAGATGAGACATGACCCAACTAAGTTTTCACTCTGAAAGATTTTAAGTGAATCTATCTCCCAAGGCAATTTGGGGTTTCTCCAATAAAGATCATCCCTCCAATGAAAATCATCCCTCCAGAATAATGATTCTTGGAGTATCGTCCCAAGACCAACATCAGCAGCCTTACTGAGAACTTGTTAGAAATGCAGATTCTTGGGCCCCACCCCAGACCTAGATCAGAAATCTGGGAGTGATGCCAGCCCTCCAGAATATTCTGATACACTCTCAAATTTAGGAACCAAACTGTAGGATTACAGACCTTCTTCTCTTTTGTTTCTCTCTGGGTCTTCTCCCCAATTCCCTTCCCATTTCCATCTTCAGCCTGGGATATAATCAGCTCTATATCTTATTCCTATTCCCTCCTGTGTGATCCTATTCCCTCCTGTGTGATCCTGAAAGTACTATGTGCATTGTCCTTGTTCCCCTTTGTAAATACTAGATGGTCAAGCTACCTCCTTCATGCACAACCTTATGAACCTTTGAGGTGCACGTCATCTACCTATTCTGTCCTTTCCCCTACTTATTGCTTTCATCTGGGGACTTTTCAGCTAAACAAATTATTCAATACCACAGGATCAAAGTCTTCTTGACTCTACACTCCGGTTATCTCACCTCCACTGCAATTAAATTAACTTCCATTGACATATCCAGGGCCATGTCATTAACAGTAAACTTTAATATACCAATGTCAAAACACCATCTTTTAGCTCTCCAAACTTCTCAAGTTCAAGATGCGGGTCACTGGCTTTTTTTAAACCTCATTGGGACGACTATTCCCTAAGATTCCCTTCTTTCCTTAGGCAAACTCTCAGCAGACTGCCAAACCTATCCGATAGAGACCGTGCATTACGGTCCGTTGCTTCAGCCACCCTTGCCAGCACCCTTAAAATCAATCCCTGTTGTCTTTTACCTCAAGCTGAGACCATATAATAACCCACATTTCTGGGCCTTTACCCAGATGGCCGGACAGTGCTGGGAGAGGAAAACATTGCAAAGACTGCACGTACTGGCATCACTCAACTTTGGTTTCTGACTGCAGCCATCCGTCAGCACTGCTCAGCCACCTTTCAGTGGTTTCTCTTCCCGCCACACACTATTTCAAACCTGTGACACTTTGAGCTTTCACCCCAGCCCCTCCAACAGACTGCCCTGCCCACCATCTCAATAAGAAAGCCAAGCTTTGCACCCCTCCAGCCTCCCACCCTGCATCGAGAAATATATCCCTGCCCTCGTTTTTTTTAAGGAAGAAGTGAGGATCCCCACTTCTTTCTAAAGGTGATACCTTCATGGGTGATCTTGACTTGATTTCCTCTATTTTCCCTCAGTCTCTCCGTTATCGTCGGTTTCTTTCAATTATCTTCTTTTCTTCTCAGCATCTCAAATGTATTTAACCCTCATTCTCTATAAAACCATCCTATAGTCCTGTATCCTATATCATAACTGCTTCCTTCTTCATCCCCATCCTCTCCAAACTCAGTGAGAGTCTTCCATGCTCCTTTTCATGTGTACCACTCATTCCTCAACCCGCTGCACCCAACACCCACCTCCGAGGTTCTGTAACTTTCCCTCACTTCTTACCATTAACCTCCTTGTCGCTAAAACCAATGTGCACTTTTCTATCCTTTCCTTTTCTCTATGGCATTTGACGCTGTTTAGTGCCAGACTCCCTCATGTCTAACTCCCTCCTCTCTCGTTTCTTGAGAGCAATGCCTGATTTCCCTCCTCTTCTCTGAACATGCTTCTTAGTCTCCCTCATGAGCTCTTCCTGCTCTACCTACTGAGAACAGACATGTCAGGTAGGGCAGTGAGCCAGAACTCACAGGATCCGCATAGGTGAAAAGGTAAAAAAGACGTCACAACAATCAATTAAACAAAATGGTCTAAATTGTGCTAAGGAGGCAAGGTGAAAGGTAAGGCGGGTGTGCAGTACCTGAGATCTAACCCGGCTGGAGGTGGTGTGACAGAGCAAAGGAAACAGCCTATGACAAGGTTTTTGACCAGGAAAGAAACAAATTTAAAAGAAACCTAATTTAAAGGAAACATAAGTTTAAAGATTTGAAAGAAAGCCAGTGCAGCCAGGGAAAAAAGGAGAGAAGAGGCACTAGAGAGTTGTATAAGCTGTAGAAAAGACTTTGTTCTTTATCTTATAAGATTCTCATTGGTTTTCAGTGAGTTATAGCTGTTGATTCTCATTAGTCACTCTATTATATTCTATAGAGTCACTTCAAACAATGAATTAGTGAACAGTGAACCATCACTCCTAGGAGAAATGAGTGGTTAGGTTCCTGGGAGCCTCTGGTCACCACATTTTCCTCACTCAAGCAATATATAACTTTGTTTTACAATACATCACCTTTCTTTATGTGTGTTTCTGTTTAAAGTCACCTTATTTAATAAATACATTGTTAATCCATCAATACTGAACTCAGGGCTAACAGCACTATAACTCACTCCTGAACAAATTTTCTCTGTAAAGCATATTATAACCTTCCTGCTCTTCAGAACACTAGTTGGCATTTCCATAGTATGCCATTTATAAACGGCAAAATTACCAATAAAAAGCACAGAAATGTGACACTAAATAGACCATGAAAAAGCCACTTATTCACAGTATGAGAGCTGAAACAGGAAGGCACAGTGTTGCTTTGTTTGAGCTTAGCTAGAAATGTGTGCATTAAATGACTCGAATTCTTTACCTCTCTGTACATGTCCATGAATGACCTCAAAAGCACCCCATGTATTGATTTGGGGGGTTACAGATAAATTTTAACAAGTAGATGAATTCACAAATACAGAGTCCACAAATAATGAGGATTGATTGTAACATAAAGCCCATAGATTAACACTTGGTATATAGGGTGCTCTGTGTAAGTTTGATACTTTTATCATCTTCTTTATTATTATGTTATTAAATATCCTGAGAGCACTGGACACCTTTAAAAAGCTTGAGGCAGGGGGAGCGATATGATTCAGATTTGTGTCCTGAAAAGATCACGTGACTTCTGTGTGGAAAACACGAGCGGAGACAGGTGACAGGAGGATATTGCAGTAGTCCAGGTTAAGAAAGAGGTGCTGATGTTGTATTTAGAGCAGGGCAATGGCAGTGCACATGAAAAGGGCGGGCTTAAGAGAGACACTGTAAGAGGCAGCATTTCTGCATTCCTGAGCTGGCGTTGCATTCCCGCTGGAATGTGCTCTGGAACTCCACCGGCACGTTATCTGCTCACCTTTGGGCACAGCCTTTTCTAAGCTAACCCAAATTGATTGAGGCGCACCTCACCTTCTGTAACATGTTATACGATGTTTCAGTCTAGTACATATAACACTATATCAGTCATCTATTTATACATCTGTCTACCTTGCTGAACTGTTAACTCTTTCCAGATCCCTGGAGTCAAGTTCAGAATTTAGCACATAATAGATGCTCAGGAAATATTTGTTGCATTAACAAACAACAGGGATCCTAGTAACTAGCTGAGTGTTGCCTCCAGCAGGGACTCAGGGAACCTTACTCAATCTTTTCAAGTGCAGAAATTATTTTTTACTATAATTCAAAAAAATATCAAGGTCTCGATTCTGCACACGGGGTCAGCTACAAATGTGGGGCAATCTGTTTTTTCTTGTCCTCTGACTATTTCATGCTTCCATCCTTGAGTCCACATTTATAAAATAAGGTGATCAGGTCGGATGTTCCCTAAGATTCTTTGTGGTTCAGGCACTCTGGGATCCAGGAATTACCCAGAACGACTTCATTCCAAGTATCTAACTCCAAGCCGTGCATGCTTTTAAAGCTATCATAATTTGTAGCCTTATAAGGCCATATTGTATAAACTCAAATCATCTCCTCCAAAACTTCCTCACATTTTCAGAACTTAAGTTTTTCTAAGTGTTTTAAGTTTCTTCCAGTTTTTTCCTACCTCCTAGATAAGAGTATTTCCCCAAATTAGAGACATATCCTGTACAAGAGACAGACTCCAATTCCCACAGGGTTCCCGGGAGAATTCGGTCAGAAACCATTTTTATTCACGGTTTTTTTAAAAGTGACTAGCAAAGAACATTCTTACGATAACCATGAACACGAAGACAGCCAACATTTACTAAGAACCTACTACTTACCAGACACACTTTGCGAGGCACATCACATGTTTAAGTCATGTGATCCTTGTAGGAACCCTGCATGATTTGATGCTGTTTTCTCCATTTAGTGGTTAGCAAAACTGAAATTCAGAGAAGTTAAGCAGTTTACTCACGGTCACCCAGCTTAGAACGGACTGATCCAGACTGTGACTCCAGAGCCCACTCCTTTAATTACAGTAAACAGACTGTCTTCTACGTTCTTTCTTCCTGCTCTTCTGGACTCCCTCTGTGATTTTATACATGTTCTTTGACCAGTCCTTCTGGTAACATGGCCATAAAAATAAAAACTATAAGGCACTGATGCCAAGGGTGTCTCTGATGCTTTTAAGCAGACACCCTACAAAAGATTGGTGACGCTGAGCCTTCTAATGTAACTTGAACCAACGTCAAGTACATCAGCCTAACAAGCTGAGTCAAGATGAGATTTGCCAGGCGTTGCTGTTACTGTGGTGGCCAAGAGTATGAGAGCAGGGAGCCCACTGGATCTCACATTAAAAGACAAAGAACTACACGTGTTAAGTGAAAACACACCATCTTCATTTCAGATTTGTAAAATGTTCTCAAATAAACTATGTCTGTATTATCTGTGGATTCCCCAAAGTGTACTTGTTCATATTCTCAGAAACTAGAAGCCATCCAGAAGGTCATCTTCAGCTGGGTCTCAGTCTCGGTGCTGCAGTGATCACCCCGGTACAGCACGCTTGGTTTAGTTTTGAAGGGCATGGTCTGTTGGTTCATCAGTGAGCAAGGTTCTACCCAAGTAGTAGAATTTGTGGAAAACATCTAATTCCATCTCACTGATAAAAATCTGTTATTTTAAATGAGATTACGGGTATGATTAGGTCATCTCTCTATATGGTCTCAGCCACTTTCTCTTCCATGCTGTGTGATAATTTGTATGACTTCCTCAACACATACTTCAGAAGCAACTGATAAGCACATGGTGATATCTGACTTACCAACTCTAAGAGTTTTAGATATTTGTTTTAAGCTGTTGAACTGAAGCCTCCTTGAGGCATTTAGGGGCACATTAAAAGTCAGCTTTCTGCCACTACATTAATCATTGGGAATGGGGTAACGTGGCCTGGTGCCTATACTAATAATAGAAGTGCCTTCCATATTTTAGCATACATAGAGAACATCTAAACTTATTTATTAACCATCATCATTCACACTCATTAGTGATGTTGCATATTTTTATGTGATTACTTGAAATAGGGTGAAAGTCCTTATGTCCCTTATGCTTTCTCCAGTGACAGTTTCAGAATATCTATCTATATAAGAGGGATTTAGGAGCTTAGAAGGGTCTCTAGGAGACTTGTCCGGAAGTTACATTGCAAAGCAAACAGACTGATTGGGGATGGGAAGAGAACGTGACAGAATTGATGGAGAGGCCAAAGTTCTTTCCCGAATCACTGTTAACATCCACCTGTGACCTGTCCTATGTCAAGCATGCAGCAAGCAGCAACATGTAGATTAGACAATACCTATTTTTACAGAGTCCAATACTGTTGTTGTATGTTATTTGATAACATAGCCAGAAATCCTTGACCAAGATATTATTTGTATTAGATAAGGTCTAGCCAGGAAGGGGAACCCCTCCTATAAAGCAGGGGAAAGTTATATAGTGATTGGATTATGCAGGTTCAAAGAGCTGGGAAACCAAATGAGCCAGTGAGATAACACAGAGATGGTCCAAGCAGGAAGACATTACCACCCTAGGGCGAGATACAGAACTGAACTCTGTGTCAATAGATGGAGCCAAGGTGAGGCACCATGGTTCTCCCTGGCACCTTGGAGGGCAGAGCTGGTGGGCATCTAGGCTGTAGAGGAGATGTGGCCATTGCCAGAATGGACAGGATACTGTCCAAAGCAGAGAGAGCAGAAAGGAAAAATACCCTGGCGTCTCCCATCTTCCCTTTCTAGTCTTCTACCAGCACCTTCCATTGGTGGGGCCTGACCCAGAGGTCAGCGATTCCTCAGCATTGTGGTACCTGAGAAACCGAGTGAGCGCGGGAAGGCAGGACAGACCGAAGAGCAGATGGGCAGTGGACCAGCGCAGTGTCTCAGGTTCGTTCCAACTACTCCCCATTTATTAAGCACTTGTGTTGTTCCGATTAATCCTGTATTGTTAGACACTTGGTTTATTTTAACTTTTCCCTGTTAACAACCCCCATAGAAAAGGATAAAAAAAAAAATAGATAAATTAGAAAGTGTTCAAAAGCAAATTCTGGAAAACAGACAAAATTTTTAGAAACTTAGGAGGATTATAAAACTCTACCAGTGGAGGATGAGATTGGGAGCAATGACTATCGGTATTAGTTTCTGACCAAAATTATGTTCTAACCAAATGATCATGTTGGCCAGCTTTGTTTGTCCATTATTTTGTCACCAAAAGAGGTAGTGGTAATGGTAGCTACCTCCCTTTTTGCCAAAAACTCCACGAGCCACAGGGTTCTTAGGATATTATTCCTCCCGCCTTTAAGTAAAGCTCCTAGACCAACCAGCAACACAGCAAAGCAGAGAGGCCTGGTCTGCCCGGATTTCCTCACAGCAGTAAAGCAGCTGTTCCCCACGTGCTCCCGCAGCATGCCGCACCAGCTGGGAGCTTGTTAGAAATGCAGACGATCGGGCCCACTCAAACTCAGGTGGATTCCTTATGGACCCCTTGGCCTCTGCCTATCTGCGTGTCCACCAGGATCCACACCTCTGCCACACACACACTGCAGTCTGTATTCAGTAATGAAATGCATCTAGTCTGCTCCACAAAGGAGCCTACTCCCAGGAACTACAGTCCATGGAATAGGGCCAGAGCTTC